ACACACACACACACACACACACACACACCAGAATTCCTATGACAGAAAGTTTCCTGCCACTTTTTTTTTTTTTTTTTTTTCTGGCATCAGCAAAGGGCTGAGGCGTGAGAGCTTCGTTTTTGCTCCAGCCGGCACCCACAACCCCCATGTCAATTCTGGAGCCCGCAGCCACACAGCCAGCTCTGACTTCAGAATGCAGTTTGCAGTTCAGTGGCCAGCACGGGGCTCGGCAGCTGTACTTTACTGCTTGTGGTGTTGAGAGACTGGACCGTCTAGTGCCTTCCCGAGAAAAGCTCAGGACCCGCTGCCCAGCCACCACCGCTCCCTGATCCCCAATCCCACGGGCTCACAGCAGGCACTGCTGCCCCCTAGTGGGAGGCAGGCTCCAGCCTCCAGTGAGAAATCGCTGCGGGATTCCTCCAGTCCCTTCCAGGGGACTTCTCCAGGCTGGGTCCGAAAAACCCCGTCTGTAGTTCCTACACATCACACCTGTCACGGTCCCCTCGGACAGGTCCCCTGAGCCTTCTCTTCCCTGGGATGAAAAGGCCTTGACTTCACCCCCTCCTGGCTTGCAGGACGTTACGCCTAGATCCATCTCCTAGGGCATTTGTGGCCTGCTCTACCACGGGCCAGAACCAAATCAATGCTGGGATTTGGGCCAATTGGGGCTGAAACCCAGGGAGAGGAAACTCCAGGAGGCCCAGAAATTCCCCAGCAGGCCCCCCTCCTCATTCAGGTTGCCACCTGGAGAGGTGCAAGGAGCTCTCTTCCTCCTTCCTTCCCTCCCTCTGCACCAGGGCCCGGCCTTACCAAATGCTTTGGCGACATCCCCTGGACACGTGCAGCCTCCATCCTTCACAGGGCAAAAACCAAGGACAAGACATCATCAGCGGGAGCTCAGCCAGGCTGTCCCCGGATGACCCAGTGACTGGGGGTTCAGACCCACCACAGCCCCCAGCAAGCCCATGAGCCCAAGTCCCCCCACCATAGCTGTTGTTGTCTGATCGAGTGTACTCCCCTCATTATTGCACCTTTCACTCCCCAGGCCCATCCAGGCTTCCTCTGTGGCTCAGAGGCTGGCACCACCCACTGCCCACCTGGGCTTGGGCACTTCTGTTGCAGAGCAGGAGGCAGCAGGGGCTGTGAGTGGTGGAGAGGCTTGGCCCTCATCCCATGCCAGCCCCCTTTTATAACACACCCAGCCATTCCACTGTCCACGCTCATTCTCACTTAGAAGCCACCTTTCCCTCTCTGGCTGGTGTGAGGTGAGATTTATTTAGTACAAGCGTTGAATTCTTTTAAGAGCCAAGAAAAGGACATTGAGTTAATCCTTTTATCTTTCCAGGTACTTCCATGTTTCCTATTCCTCATGTATGGTACACAGTTACCTTAAAATCAAACATCTGTTCTTCCACCCACACTGCCCACGCAGACCACACCTGGGCTGGTTTAATGTGTAGCTGGGCCAGTCTGTTATCTCGGGCTGCCCAGCAAGGTTCAGCTGTGGGAGGTAATGTTTAAACACCAACCACACAGTACAAGTCTTCTAGGATGCAGAGCTAGCTGCATTTTCTTTTCTTTTCTTTGAGACAGAGTCTCACTCTTGTCCTCCAGGCTGGAGTGTAATGGCGTGATCTCGGCTCACTGCAATCTCTGCCTCTCAGGTTCAAGCAGTTCTCCTGTCTCAGCCTCTTGAGTAGCTGGATTACAGGCGCCCACCACCAAGCCCGGCTAATTTTTGTACTTTTAGTAAAGACAGGGTTTTGCCACGTTGGCCAGGCTGGTCTCAAACTCCTGACCTCAGGTGATCTGCCCACCTCGGCCTCCCAAAGTGCTGGGATTACAGGTGTGAGTCACCGCACCCAGCCGCTAGCTGCATTTTCTTACAAACCCAAGACACCAAATGCCCAGAACGCTACCTACTATTCCTAATGTAGCCTGGGTGCAATTCAAGGGGCAAATGGACAGCAACAGTACGCTGGAGCAGCAGCCAGACACCATGGCGCAAGGGGAGACAGCAACAGTGTCAGGGTTCACGTGACGGTGACACAGCCCAAAGCTAAGTGTGGGTCTAGGAGAAACAACAGGGCCTCAGAGGGAAGCACCTGTCCCCAGAAGATGGGACCCACTTTGGGAAGGAACAGAGAAAAGACAGGGTACCCAGACTACCCCGTGTTACAATCTGCAGGAAGGTGCACGCACCTCTGCAGTTGGAGGGCAGGGAAATGGGATGAACCACCTTGTAAAGAACATCTCCAACTGAGAACATAGGGTCTCTGTGACTCAGTCCCCTTTCTCTATCTACCAATGAGGCCTGTCACTCCAGGAGCTAGAACTCCAATACTGTTTCACTACTTCTCTGCAGCTCTGATCAAAAGGTTAAGTGTGAAGGCTGCACCTTTTCTTTACAAACATTTACTGACCATAGTTATTTCCCCAATCAAATGTGTTATTCATACATGGCTTCTCTGACCCCCAGAGGGCCACAGAGCACTGAGGAATAATTATTTCAGAGGTGGTCTCGTATGTTATCTGGCCCAAACCCTCTGTGTGAAGGCAGGAACAGGGCTTGTGGCTCTACACCCCTTGTTAATGCTTCAAAATCCTGGCATATTTATTTACTTTACCTTTCAAAGGTACACCCTCAAAATGCCCTTCACTTGCCCTGCCAATTAATGTTAAAGTGCTTTATCTCTTTATCAAAACCAGCTCTACACAGCGTTTCACACTTCTGGCCTCAAACACATTAAATAAACTCATGCTCCCATTAAAATAAGTCCTTTTAAAACATGACTTTAAAAAACATCACTCTTGGCCGGGCGCGGTGGCTCACACCTGTAATCCCAGCACTTTGGGAGGCTGAGGCGGGTGGATCATGAGGTCAGGAGATCGAGACCATCCTGGCTAACACAGTGAAACCCTGTCTCTACCAAAAATACAAAAAATTAGCCAGGCG